CTCTCTCTCTCTCTTTTCTCTCTCTCTCTCTCTCTCTCTCTCTCTCTCTCTCTCTCTCTCTCTCTCTCTCTCCCTCCCTCCTTTCTCTCCCTATTTTATCTTCCCGAGCATTCACTCCCGCTGTTTTGTATCGCCCTTCCTTTTCTCGTCAATCTCGTGTCGAGACTTATTGTATCGTGTAAAAAGAATTGACAAGTTGCGGGAAAAAAATTCGCAAATTCTCTTCCGGATTCTCTTTAGAATTTTATGAAGATTTGGTTAGATTGCGAGACAAGGCGATATGATTTTGACATTCCTTCTTCTATATTATTCTTTTATATTATTTCTTCATTGAAGAATTATTTTGTCCTGGACGTTATGATTCTGGAGAAACCTTTCAAAGTCGAAATTTTATTTTTACTTTAGAACTTTAACATTTATTTTAATTTTAAAACGTTTATAAATTCTGAAGGATTGCGATGGAATTAACTTAAAATTGAATTTTTACTTTACGTCTCAAACTTCCATCAAGATTCAAAAGATGAATTCTTGGCAAAATCCTTTGAAATCCTTTAATAATCTTATTAATATAATACTTTTTATTATAATTTTGAATTTGCGAATTGTATTATTGCATAGATTATAAAATAATGTCAGCTGAAATATGATGAAATATATATTTTAATATTAAATAAATATCTGAGACAGAAATAGAAGCTCAAGGTATACAGTAATAGTTAAAAAAAATCTTTTAAATATTAAAATAGAAGAAAATTTTATTTATTATTATTTTTTTATAATAATTCTAATTGGGGTTGAAAGTAGGAGAAACATTTCGATTTAACTTGGCATTTTGTCAGAATACCGAACACGTTTGCGAGAAATTTCACGAGGTGCATTTTAATTAACATAGATAGCGGAGAGGAAGATCATTGTTATACTCGACGCATCGCTACCGCCATCGATCCGCATTTTCACCCAGGGTAATCTTGCGCGATGCAAGCGACGAGAGGGAACGGCTATCGGTCGCCATGTTGTGCAGCTTTTATCGCCGCGCCCTACATAGGAACATTAAGCGCGCGGGTTGCCGGGTTGCGCGTATATCAACAATAATTGTAGGGCCAATAATAAACCCGAAGGGAGCACGCTCGATAGCCCGAAATTGCCGGTTCCCCTACCCCGAGCTGCGCGGTTTTATTGCCTCCTCTCGTCGAGTCAGAAATGGCGGCAGCCCCCTTCATCGTCCTCGATGTCGGATAA